CCAGCACAGTACAGTAGTTAGAGTTTTGGACTAAGACTTGGAAGACTTGGGTTCAAATTTCCACACAGCCATGAAACTTGCCAACTGACCTTGGGATAGATAGGTTCAGGGTCTGTGCGTTACCTTAAAGTGTTCCGTGGGAACCAATCTGTTGTATGTGTACGATTGGGGCTATACCAAGTTCCAGTATCCTATTTACCTGATCCTTTTATTTACCCTGTTTGTTGTTTCAATAAACCTTGTTCTTTTGTTTATTAAAATCCATTCCTGGTCTGGGTGACTTGGTGGAGCGAATGGTTGGTGGCAGCATAACTACAGGGTGGGATACTCCAGTAGGTCTGGGGTTGCCACAGCTGCTGAGAAGACCCTCTCCTGGATTACCTCCAAATACCAGCACAGTACAGTAGTTAGAGTTTTGGACTAAGACTTGGAAGACTTGGGTTCAAATTTCCACACAGCCATGAAACTTGCCAGCTGACCTTGGGATAGACACACTCTCTCAGCCTAACCAAGTCACAGGATGTTGTCACATAAAGTTGGGAGGACACCTAGGTACAATTTGACCTTGTTGGAGGAAAGGCAAGATGTTAATCACAAACAATGAAACAAACGTTTCACATTTGTAGTGGAATAGAGTGACCGGTGCCTCCTTAAAATCTTAATCCCAAGATGGACATAAATGGGACAACATGGATCACATCTGTTCTTAGTGGAAGTCAGAAACTGCATATGAATCACATCAGAAATCCAATTCCCATCTCAAAATGGTTGGCCTGAACACTAGCTATACATGTTCAGTACAGTATTTAATTTCACATTCCAGATGTAACTTGTGGTGGATGGACTGCTCAATTCCTTGTGAGCTGGAGAAAGACATAACCCAAACCAGTAAATTACAAATTTCAGTCATATGAGCTTGTGGCACCCAGTTTGAAATCCCAACCCAACTTCTGTTAATCAGACAAACCTTCCTCCAATCTTGTCTTACTAAGAGATCATAAACAGTGTTTCGACAGCAGTTGTAACTATGCATGGAAATTAGTCATTTTAAGGTTCTGACTGTGCATTGAGCTAAGTCTGGCATCCCTATGACAAATTAGAAGTCAACCTTATTTCACTATGTGCCCACCAGAAAGTATTACAAAGAGCATAAGTACAGGTAACTTTTTGGTAAAATATATTTGCGAAGGCTTTCACGGCCGGGATCTAATGGTGGTTGTGGGTTTTTCGGGCTCTTTGGCAATGTTCTGAAGGTTGTTTGGTAAAAGTTCAAATCCACAATTATTTCAAATATATTAAAATTTTACAGATCTACTTGACACATGAATCTGATTCACTGTGTCTTGCTGAAGAATAGGCAAAGAATATTCATGGGGGGGGGGCTCAATATCCAGCATAGGGCTGGAAGATTCTAGAAGCTGTTGCATTATAATTTCTTTCTTTTTGTAGTACAAAAAAAATCTAACATTCCATATTTGATGCAAATGAGCTCTAGTCATTTCGTTAAGAGAATTTTTGTTACTGGACAGATATTAAATAATAAACAGACAGACATGTTTAAAATATCTCATATTTTATCAAATAAAATATACCTTCCTCTTCTTAATGCTAGCCAGTTTGGTATAGTGGATAGAGTTTCAGACTAAAACTCAGGAGGCCCAGATTCAAATTCCTGCTCAGGTATGGAAAAGCATGGAGGTGGTGGCAGTGATAGCACATCCCATATATCTCAGAAACCCTGTTATGGTTGCCATAAATCAGAACACAATTAAAAGAGTCCCCTCTCTGTCACCTGTTTCCCCCCCTAAAAGCACATAGTATTTCAGACTGCTAGTCATTTCTGGCTTCAGTTACAAATTCCCTTTCTGAAAAATTCTTCAAAGTGGGTGAATTCTAATGCCAATTTATCGTTAACATTATCCCTCCAATTTGCATAAGTACATGAAGATAGGATGGGGGGGAATGTAGTATGGGGAAAAACCTACATCAGGTGAATTTTAGTAAAACGCTTAGGTTCCTGCTGAAAAGAAGACCTGCAGGGGGGAAACAACTACCGACTCTGATGTTAGAAACACATGGGGGGTGCCTTCTACTCCCTTGATGTCTCTCTTTGTAGAAAATATGTCACTTTAATTGTACTGCCAGGTGGGAGTCAAGTGTAATTCTTTCCCTCACCTCTCCTAAAGCCATTGTATTAGTTAGAGGTTGAATCCAGTCCCTGCGGCAGCTGTTAAGAAAGCAAATGTGTGGCTGAAGTGTGTATCTATCCATGTAAATATACACACACTTACACATCTTATATGTATGTGTATGTGTTTATAAATATACGTATCTCAAAAGAAGGTCATCACTTCTTAAGATACCAGATAATTTTCTCCTTTATATCCAATGACAAAAGCCATTTTTGTTACATCTAGAACTTAGAAATGTTGTTTTTCTGGACTACAACTTGCAGTATCTGTGGAATGGGCTGATTTGATATGTGGCTGGTCAGTATGTTCAAGGCAGGTTACTATGCCTTCTAAATGTACATAGGAATTGTATATGCACAATTAGAGATTAACTAAGGATTTCATGCTGATGAGCTATTGCAGCCCATAATTAGTGTTCCTAAAAAATCCCCCAAATGATCCTACAATGGATGTGAGTAAGCAAATAACAGGACAATGCAAGCCATATTTGCCCATTGCCTGTCCCTATTGATAATATAGATCGGAAAGAATCAGCACAGATCAGACCCTTGCAAACCTCAAATACAGATAATGGTAATTTTATTGTCCATTCTGCATTAAAAACATGACTCAAATTTAGAAGGCAACTCAGTATGTTGTCTTATCTAGAGTCAGATCATTGGTCCTTCCAGTTCAATATTGTTGAATATTTCCTTCTATGTCAACAAAATCCACATTCTGTATCACATATGTAAATTTCTATTTCCTCTGTAATATATAAGGGAGCCATCACATATACACTTATTTTTCCATTATTTTTTTAATCAGGGAATAAAGACCCTCCACTTTTGGCTTCTGAAACCTCTCCAGAAATTACTCATATAATTTCAATATAATTTTGATAATCTTAGGACCTAGCAATATATATGTGGCATGTTCATCTGATATGGTAATAAATTCAGAAATTTTGCAACCAGTCCAAACAGCATATGTAGTGCAAAATCCTGTTGCTTAATGTAATAAACCACACCAGATTAGCCCCATTGAATCAGTGGGGATTTGGTGAATCAACACCTCTTCAAGTTCCATTGATTCAAATGGAACTCCTCTAATTGCAATTTACTGTGCTAATTTACTACACTAAGAAAGAGGATTTTGGCCACTGAGGCACTGTTGTGAGAAAAAAAATTTGTTTGAGATATATTTCAAAAACTGCAAATTTCCACCATCCGGAATCTCAGGTGACTATCTATCCTTTGAGGATAATTATTAGCAACCTCTCGTTACCACTTGATGCTGATTGTTGTTTTTCCCTGCCTGATGGATCAAACTGAATAGGTTTAACCTCAAGATTATAAAGCCTGCTGTTTTATCTGTAATCATGCAAGGACTGTGCAAGGTCAACATCCTTTGTTCACAAATGTGACAGGTGAACAAGAGCAGGTGCAAACAGAGGGGCCAGCTGGAATAACAGAGATGTTCCAAATTAATAGGGACCAGATGCTGTGAAACAGAAAGGGCTAAAGGAGAGTTCAAAGGCAGCCAGCAGGGATTAGGAGGCCCCACTAAAAGGAGTATTGAACACCTCCCTCCTCTTTGATTCAGGCTTTTGACAATCTTAACATTATATCTTTAAAGAGAGAACAGGAAACAAAAGGTTTCACTTCCTTCCTCTCAGTGCCTTGATATATTTCAGTAAGAAGAAGAAGAAACGACTTTTAAGACTTACTGAGAAAAGCCACTGCTATAAAAATATTTAGACTCCAGCAATTAGGCAGAAAAAGGTGGTTTTGAGCTGTTTCACTCAGCACCGTGTTTTTTAAACAGCACTAGCCCAAAGGGAGCGACACTTTGATCATTCAATTGCATTTAGTACTGCCATTCCATGCAGTTTCTCTGGGAGTGAACAAACCGCACTGGGGCCTACCAATCATATGACCTAGATTCAGATATCAACGGCAGGGGTTTTCAAGACATGTGCCTTAGTTAGATGTCACGAGTCTGAACCAATGACAAGCATGTGTATGAGTCACAAAACTGTAGAGTGGGTGGAAACTTCAAGACTCCAAACTCCTGGCAACGCAGGAAATCCGCAGCTAAAACATCCATGGCATTGACCATCCAAACTTTCTTTACAAACACCAACCAAGAAAAGGTCATCATCATTTTCTGAGGTAGTCCATTCCACAGTCAAGCAGCTCTCTGCTTCAAAATTTTTTCATAATGTTTAGTTGAACTTTGTTTCTGGCTATTTGAATCTTCTTGGAATGCAGATAAAAAGATCACTTTGCAAATGGTGTTTTACCATAAAGGATATGAGAATTCTTAATAATTTGAATTTCATCCTGATTTGTCTATGAATCATATTGGACCAGGATTACTCAAAATATGGAATACCTGAAGAAGACCTGAACCACTGACAAAGTACTTCGATGTCACAACATTCAGATCATTCATAGACATACAGCTTGGTCATGTCTATGTTTATTCAAAATAATAGAGGCAATGTGGTATAGTACAGTAGTTAGAATGTTAGGTTGGGGCTTCAGCCCTTTTCAGGCATTCAGCATGGAACTATGTAGGGTTCAAAGATTGGTAGAGATGTAGCAAAACTCCATGTGTCCACCATAACTTGAAGAAAATCTTGTATTCAGTGCAAAGGTCAGTATAGGTGGTTCAAATGAACATGATTAACATTTCTGTGATTGACAGCCCTCACATGGAAATGCTGTAAACATATTTGAATGCACTTACAACACTGGGATCCTCAATCTGCAAAAGCTTTCACAGGATGTATATGAGGATTCTGGGTGAGAATATTGAAGGCTGAGCTTACTTATGTGCTCCAGTTCCCATAATCCAGTTGTTTTCTATCCAAACAATGCTTTGGAAGAGTCAGATTCCCTTTAAACTGTAGGATTTAGTCAGCAACCTGGAGTCAACCACTTTCTTAGAGTTGGAAATGTATGTGTTTTGCTGTCCAGTCAGAACTGACTTATAGCAACCCTAATAGGGCTTTCAAGGTAAGTGAGATATTGAAGAAGTTTTATCAGTTCCACTCCCCCAGTAAGCTTTCATGGCCAAAAGAGGATTTGAACCCTGAAGGGCTTTCAAGGTAAGTGAGATATTGAAGCTGTTTTATCAGTTCCCCAGTAAGCTTTCATGGCCAAATGAGGATTTGAACCCTGCTCTCCAGAGTCTATCCACTGTATCATACTGGGACATGTAAGTAATGTATGACAAATAATGGTTTACTTGTAATTAATCTCTTCCACAATAAAGATACAGCTTAGTTACAATTGTAACTAAATAACATGACTTGTTTCATGGTGTAACTGCAACTTTTAATTATACATAGGGGTCTTAGTTTAATAATGGAGGATGAGCATCAGTTTGTGACCTTGCGCTCTACTATGGATGTCTGGAAGTTGAGTCATGGCAACTGGACTCCTTTCTTATTAGGATGAAATGTTTTGCTCCTGTGGATGCTGAGGGGACAACAAAGTGGATGGAAAAACAGTATGTTTTGTGCCAAAGTCTCAAAGTATTCAGACTTTTTTTTTTAAAAAAATGCTCCAACTACTTAAGTTTATTTTGGAAAATGAAAAACAGTTTCTTCAAAAGTTAAGCATAATTACAAGTATCTGCGGAATCTTGCAATTTAATGCCTAATTACTTTTAGAAATGATTTTGTAAGATCTGGTTTGTTTTAGCATAAGCCACTTCTGTTCTGAGGTTGGTGGGGATGAGGAAATCACCATGAACCCATTTATAGAAAGAACAGAAGCTTGCCTGTGGTTAGCAGGACACCAACCTCTTAGGTGTTCACCCAGCCTAGAAACAAAGGGTGATGGTCTTTGGGATCCGAGAGGCTCCTTCTAAGGGGAATTACCTTCTTATGGTGAGATGAGGAAGATCTGATTCCCTTAATTATTTTGCAAGATCTGATTTCTTTTAGCATAAACCACCTGTTCTTGATGGGGATGAGGAAATCATCATGAACCCATTTATGGAAAGAAAGCTCAGAAACATAAGTGTAACTGACAAGTTCCATGTTTACTGGTTAGGACTGTAGCCTTATTTAGAAACAAATCTTAGTGATTTTATAAATTTTATGTACTACAAAACTGTGGCATAGATTTTCAATTCAGATTTGGTTTATAGTTAACATAGCTGTATTAACAGCACCGATACAGAGAAATGTAGATAGCCTCTACTTTTACCTCTGTTAGGAAAAGCTTCTTTTGCTTTATTTACAGGGTAACAGGCTGATAAATGTTCAAAAAGGCAACACTGTTGCAACATTTCTGTTGGTTCGGATCCTTCCATCCCCTCTTTAGCAAGCAGAAGCTAAGCAGGTTTCCAAGATTACAAACTGAGGTTCCCAATGTTGCATCTCCAGGAAATGCAAAAAGTAAGAAAACACTTTTCTTTGTTGCTGTTTTGTTCTGTGACTTAACCCCGTTCAAGTGTTTTGGGCCTTGCCTGGAAATAGATGTGCCCCTAACCGCTTGCAAATCAACCCCGAGCACTATTCAGACACAAGAACACCTCCGTGGAAACAATCCGGGAGAGAGGGGGGGGGGAGGAAGGAAACGCCATCATTCTAAGCAACCGATGAAATCAGGTGGGAACCGAAAACAACCGGAACTTATGGCGGTTCGTTGTTTGCACCCGGGAAATGGCTCGGTGGCTCCCGGTTGCTGCTTCTTTTAGGGACGAAGAGGCGAATGGAAATGGAGCCGCTTCGTGTGCTGGAGCTGTACAGCGGCATCGGAGGGATGCACTACGCGCTGCAAGGTATTTTTACACGCCCCTCCATCAGTTACTTGCGGCAGCTGTCATAACCGTTTCTTTGTCTTCCTCGGGCCGGAAAAGCCTTGACTTCCGGGCTGGGGGAGGAGGCGACGATGGCGCTATAGAAGCAGGAAACGCTCGGCTTTCTGATGTCGACGGCGGTGGTTGCAAAACTGAACCTTGCCACCAACGTGAGGGTACAAGGGGCGCCCACCTTTCTCAGTCGGTGGTGGTGTTCATACGGGGTGCAGCGCACCTAATCGCAAGCCGGTTTTGTCTTGCAAGGTGTTTTTTTTTATTTAGCTATTATTTTGCTTTCCCTCTGAAATCTTTGTGGTTTCTTTAGCCACACACACCCCGCACCTTGTAGTTTGCGATGAAGCTCTCCTCCTCCCCCTCCCCTAGTAATCCCAGTAAGGTTGCCAGCCTTAGCCTTTTCACTGGCCTTCCGCCTACCCTGTGTGTTAGCAGGAACCTGCCAGATGCAAGGAAATGAGTGAAAACGATGGAAAGGTTTCGTGATACCTAAAACACTAATGAGCAGGAAGTCTTTCCAAACTTGGAGGTAAATTGAGGGAGGAAACTGAATCCATTTGTTACCTGTTATTTGGGATGCTTTCAAGGAGACTTTTGGTTGAGTCACTTGCTGTGCACTCAGCATGCAATTAGGGGGGCGGGTATTACCTGTTGCATGCATAGCCTCTCAGGAAATTATTGAAAACTCAGCCTTTTGCTGTTTATAATAATCTCAGAACTGCAGAGTTGGAAGGGACCCTATGGATCATCGAGTCCAGCCCCTCTCAAGGAGGCACAGTGGGGAATTGAACTCTTTCTGACTCTGCAGCTAGATGCCTAAACCACTGAGCTATCCAGCCTTTGTTGAGTATGTTGATTATTTAAGCTTTTTCAGCTAAATTTATTAGCAATCCATTAGACCAAGGACTGTCTGCTCCACATGCTGCAAGCTCTCTATGATCTATGGTAAAAATTGCCATCTGCTCTCCAATTAGGGGAGATACTGTGTCCAGAACCACCTTTCTGGATGTATGCAAACCACGTGGCCTAGCTGGTCTCATTAGTTGATGCATTTGCTGTTCTTGCTTCTAAATCAATCATACACTGATGCCACTTGTTTGCCCGGAAGCCAGACTACATTTGTATAACTGACAGACAGTGGAGTGTTAAGCAGTCAATATGGCCTGTTCCCTGCAGTGGGCATAGATAGACCCTATGGATTATCGAGTCCAAACCCCTTTCAAGGAGGCACAGTGGGGATTTGAACTCCTGACCTCTCCCTCCACAGCTAGATGTGTAAGCTAGAGGCTTTTTCCCCCCAACTAAGCTGATTGGCAATTAATCAGGTCTTGCCTTTCTCTGTAGAGCACAGTGGGGATTTGAACTCCTAACCTCTAGATGTGGAAGCTAGAGGCTTTTTTTCAACTAAGCTTATTGGCAATTCATCAGGCCTTGTCTTTCTCTCTTGGACATTTTTAGTTCCATGTGAAATTGACAGAAATTAAAGGAGGTTAGCTGCCTAAATCTAGTCAGTTGCACAATTCCATCAGAATTTCTGAAAGCACCATCAGGGATTGAAATGCCCATGCTGAGCAGAACGATTATACTGTTAATTCCTACCCTCAGAACACCACCTGATACCATTATTAGCAAGAGCATATTTCATGTGATTAAGAGATCATGTGATTTTAACTTTTACATCAACTTTGATTGAATGGGGGGAGGGGTAAAGGTTCCAATTTCAAAGTGTTCTTGTTTGTTTTGATTTACATTTGCAGGAAAATGGTCAGATTCCTGACTGTACTGTGCAACTAGGTATATGGTTTATTATTGAACAGCATTTGCACATCTGGATAGGAAAAATAAAACATCTAGTAGCCCTTCAAGTATATCAAAGCATTGATGTTAGAAATGTCTTTCCCTTTATTAGTTGAGAAACTGATCTGTTAATGCTACTGTACTACCCTACACTAGGTGTCAGGTTTACCTGTTTTGTAAAGGCAAGTGTTTGTTATCCCTATAGCAGAGCAAGGTGCATACTTGGGGTTGATAATACAGGTGCAAAGTACTATAATGTTAATGGAGACAATAAAATGTGGTTATTAAATGTGTGTATTAAAGTGGCACGTTTATATAAAGTTACCTCTTGCCTCTTCCACATGAGTTTACATTGTACTTAGGCAAAGACGTTCCTCTTCAGGTGGGCTTTTAGCAGTAGGTTAAAGTAGGTGCCTCTTACAGATTTTTAAATATTTTAAAATTGTTTTTAATATATGTTTACTTTTTTATCAGTATGATATTTTCTGGAAAGGGTCGCCATAAGTCAGAACTGACTTGACGGCACATTGTTGTTGTTGTTGTTGTTGTTGTTGTTGTTGTTGTTGTTGTTGTTGTTGTTGTCCAGATAGGCGGGGGATAAATCAAATAAAAAAATAAATATTTATATAGTATTTTTGATACTCTTTGTTTTATAATTTTAGTTTTTATGAGTACACTATGCAGAGAAAAGCAGCATATAAATAAATACATCAATAAATACATTAAGACATAAAAGGAGAAGGGGATAAAGAGGAAAGAGGAAAAAACTCAAACAAACAGCTTTCAGCAGTCTGTTGGAATAACCTTACTTTACATGTTATACTAATTTCATTTTCCTGCAGTCTGCTGGTGGTAACAGTTGATGGGGTCTTTCATAGCTGTCAAAACACTTCTTTTTTTAAACAAATTTGTGAGATATACTTGTGTGATTTTTTTAATGAGTTATGTTGCTGCCATTTTTAAAATAATGTTGTAGCTACTCAATATGTCAGTATAGCATGTAAAACTTTTATTTTCACTTTGTCTAAGAACCAAAAAAGGGCTTAACTCTATTTAATGCATACATCAGGCTACTACTAAAAACGGCCAGTGTCTATAAAAAGGTAGTAATCTTAATTAAGAGATCTGCCCATTTTAATGCAATAAATGTCACTGGTGTGATCTTTGAAGCCTGAAGTACAGTATGTGTAAAGTAATACTAGTGGCTATCAGTAGTCTTGTAAGTGTACGTCTTTGGATCCTCTAAGAGTGGTTTCTTCTAACATTCTGAAAGAGGCTGAAGGAAGGACAGTATTAGAGGCCTCCAGCATTTGTTTCAACTATTAAATTCCTTTAGTGTATGCATGCCAAAAATGAGGAGCACAGCTTGTTCCTATGTGTGTTGACACAGAAGTAAGTCCCCTTGAGTTCATGGGATAATGGCCTCATTTTTTTGAACATTTGCCTACCTCGTCTGGCTGGGGCTGGCTCTAGCTGAGAACCAAAGTTTAGAAAAGTTACTTTTTTGGATTATAACTTTAAGTATCCCCAGGTAACATAAGTGATGTCTGGGTGATTCTTATACAGTAGTCCAAACGTATAATATTATCCAACTTTGCTATCTAAGTATGTAAGTCAAGTCAATATTTTCCTATGAGAGTGGTTCTTAAGTCAAAATGTTCTTAACTCAAGCCGTTCTTAAGTCAAGACCCCACTGTATTATCCAACTTTGCCGAGTAATAGTTAGGCTGGATGACTTACGATGGTTGCTTCTCCTTTCCTTCCTGGACCATGTATGAAGCAGGCAGAGACTATGATCTTGTGGAAAGGGGAAAAGGCCCATGACACTCAATGGAATTGATTCCAAATAAAAATGCAAAGGACCAGATTAGAGCAGACTTCTCTCTCATAATTTCCTTTGTTCTCCAGGCAGCCTCCTCCCCTTTTCCTCCCACACAGGCTGGCACATGCCATGATCATGTGCTGTGGTAGACTTCGCAGCCAGAAATACAATGCATGAGAAGATATGAACAGTAACGATTGTCCGCAGTTTTCTGTAGTAGCAAATACTATGTCCTCCAATGCTCCTGGTTCTTTTCACACCAGCCCATTCCACTTTTGTGTGTCTGACAATTTGCATTCTGTGGCCATGAAACACCTTCATTTCTTACTGGCGATTCTTTGTTGTTCTCTTCCTTTAGGTTACCTTCTCCTTTATATACTGGTTGTACTTCTAAAATTAATTAACTATATATCCTTTTCTTTAGTGATCTCAAAACAATGTACATAGTAGTTCCACCGTATTTTCATAGCATCTCTTTGAGATAGACTAGCCTTAGAAAAAATAATTTGCACAAAAGAACTTAATGACTCAGTGTCATTAAGACACTGGAACCTGGATCACCCAAATGCCAGTCACAGTGCTCTTGTTAATGTATATATTTCTTCTATGTGATTTGATGTACTCATTTTTTTCCGCAGCATATTCCTGAAACTATGGTGTATCAAATAGTAATATCTGGCTAATAAGAGTCCCTTTGGACTATGTTGTTGTATTATTTTGTCCATGCAAATGAGGCGGACGTTTGAGAAAGAGGACCCTCAACCATATTTCAATGAACTTTTGTTGAACTATTCTCCCCTGTATCACGACAAGCGCCTCCACATGTGACTCAAGTTCACTGTCGGTTTTACTGTTGCCTGCAAGCCAGATGATAAATAGAAATAAGCTCCACAACAACATGGTTGGCTCCAAGGGAATAAGGGCTGTCTAGGATAGTTAAATTTCAGCAGTTTTAATGTGACATGTCACATTGACCTTGTAAGCCCAGAGGCCTATGTGCTTTCCCCAGCAGATTGAAGTAGAAATTTAAAGTATTTTTTTTATTTAATTTTAAACACAAAACCAAAAAACTACATCAAAAATACATAATAACAATAATATAAATGACAGATAAATTCATAACTCAAATGTTCAATGTTATCCACTACCTTCATATGTTTAAAATTTGTTTAAAGTTTATATGTTTAAAGTTTGCTTGTAGTTTTTCGTGGTGATCATACATACATACATACATACATACATACATACATACATACATACATACATACATACATACATACATACATACATACATACTGCCCCATTAGTGCAGGCACTGCACGGGGTGGGTTACAAGATTAAAGCTTACAACCCTCAAACCCCAATAACAAAAATGCATTATAAAACAATAGACAGTAAGTTGTTATGTCAAGTTGGAACTGACTTATAGTAAGCTTGACAGGGTCTCAAGGTAAGTGAAATACCTAAGGAGTGGTTTTGCCAATTTTGCTCCTCCAGACAGTTTTCGTGGCTGAACAGGGATTTGAACCCTGTTCTCCAGAATCCATCACTCTATCTACATAAGTGAACCATATATATAAATAACCCTATGAAATCTGTAATTAGTTAAAAAAATTTACAGCTTCCAGGAGATTGAGTTATTA